CTACTCTCAACACCAAACTGGACAATTTGCAAAAGCAGTTAAAGCAAATGGACAAGTGAGACACAGCAACTGAGAAAACGTTGAAAAAGATGGAAAAACAGACTGAGAGTATTCAAATTCAAATTTATTACGGGTCTATGTGACCGAAGTCTTGACCAGAAGAGAATGCAAGACTGTGAGTCTTAATGAAAGAGTGGATGAAGCAGAGAAGGAAAGATCCTCGGATAAAACACAACTACTACAGCTCCAGCTGGAAAGATCCATGTATGTTCTACGTTTCCATGGAATACCTGAGGATAAGAATGAGGACTTAAAGGAACTCTTGGCGGTTGCCTTGGCCCCACTAATGGATGACAAACAGGAAGACTTAATTAAGGAAATGGATGTGGCGTACAGGACTTATCCGGACTTTATAAAGAAAAATAAACTCCCAGGGGAAACTTATTTAAAATTCACGAAACGATCAACCAGAGAACTGGTGCTAAAGTCAACAATGGGGAAATCCTTAAAAATCAAGAATGATTTTTAAGAGGAGGAGGTATGTGATAACCCGAAGAAGAGCAGGGAGCAAGGGAGGGGCCACAGGCCTTTCCCCTCTTGCATTTCAGAGCTCTGCTGCCACTTTAATACCCTTTTCAAGATATCTTCCCTCTCATACCATAAACTGACATCTCCCAGGCCAAATTTGTTCTACAACCAGTGCTGGATTTTTCCAGTTTGTTTTTGATGGTCTCCCAGTATTTGTTGTTGTTCAGTCGCACAGTCGAGTCCGACTCTTTGCGACCCCATGGACCAGATCACGCCAGGCCTTCCGGTCTTCCACCGTCCTCTGAAGTTGGCTCAACTTCATGTTCGTGGCATCTATGACACTGTCTAACCATCTCATCCTTTACCCTCCCCTTCTTCTTTGACCTTCAGTCTTTCCCAGCATCAGGGTCTTCTCCGGCGAGTGCTCCCTTCTCATTGGGTGGCCAAAGTATTTGAGCTTCAGTTTCATTATCTGGCCTTCCAGGGAACAGTCAGGGTTGATTTCTTTTAGGATTGACTGATTTGATCTCCTTGCAGTCCAAGGGACTCTCAAGAGTCTTCTCCAGCACTATATACTCCCAGTATAGACATGTGAAATTTGGCAATAACTCTTTGCCTGGTCATGTTGAGTTTAAGGAAAAACCACAAATTCCACATGGATTCCTCTTAATCCGTATGTGTCATGTCATCCTTTTTGGCTTTCTTTGTTACCCTTTAAAATGGCCAGGAGTTCAACTCCTGAATATGTTTTGGTCCACGTTTCCCAAAGTTCGTCCCAGAACATTAGGACATTTCACAACCACTGTCCCTAATGCCAATCAGACCATATCTTAGATGTGACACCTCTGGGCATGTTGGGTCGTGAAACTGGCCCAAACAGTCACTGTAGAAACTGTCCTTCTCAAAAACAAGCTATAGGGAGAGCCATCCCCCTATGCCCACACCTCTTCAGAAGTGTCCTTTTGGGCTCCCCTGACTGATAACATGAAATTTCAACAAATGTATAGGGAACATAGAAGCATAGTGTTGGAAGGGATCCAGAATAATCTAGTCCAACCCCCTGCACAATACGGGAAATTCACAAATACCTCCCCCTCCACGCCCCCAGTGACCGCTGTTCTATGCCCAGAAGATGAAGAACAACCTCATGGATCTCCAGCCAAATTGGCCCGAAGAAAAATTCCTTCCTGACCCCAAAGTGGCGATCAGCATTCCCCTGGGCGTGTAAGAAAGACCCATGAGAACTATGCACTGAGGCAACCCTTCCTGCCCTCCCTCTCAGGATCTGCCCAAGTTCACAGAATCAGCATTGCTGTCAGATGGCCATCGAGCCTCTGCCTGAAAACCTCCAAAGAAGGAGAGCCCACCACCTCCTGAGGAAGCCACTTCCACCGAGGAATCACTCTGTCAGGAAGTTCTTCCTAATGTTTAGCCGAAAACTCTTCTGATTTAATTTAAACCCATTGGTTCTGGTCCAACCTTCTGGGGCAACAGAAAACAACTCCGTACCATCCTCTATAATGACAGCCCTTCAAGTACTTGAAGATGGTTATCATATCACCTCTCAGTCATCTCCTCTCCAGGCTAAACATACCCAGCTCCTTCAACCTTTCCTCATAGGACTTGGTCTCCAGGCTCCTCACCATCTTTGTTGTTCTCTTCTGGACACATTCCAGCTTGTCTATAGCCTTAAACTGTGGTGCCCAAAACTGGACACTATACTTCTGTTGATACTGTAGACCAACCATGTCTCTATAAGAACTGTGACCACATAGCAAGAGGGTTTAAATGAACAGGGAGAATGTAGTGTGTGACTTTTGACATTCCAGGTTGTACTTTAGGAAATTAAGTTAATCCTCACATCCTTATGGGTTCATTTGAGTATTTAAAACCCTGGTGTCAGAACTCCTCACCAATCTTCTTATGTCTCTCAGCTCCCTTAAATCACAACCTGGCTTGATTTACTTACATCAAAGTACTTTAATTATCAAACCCTCGGGCCCGATACTGGTGCAAGTGAGATTTTCCCGCCAGAAATCGGAATGCCTCATTGCTGTGAAAAACCATAACCAAAATGCTTCATGTTGCATCCATGCTTCATCTCTCTTTCTCCCAAACATGGTGCATGCCTCAACTGTTCCCAGGTGCTCTGACTTCTGATCTCCAGTGCTACAAACACAACAAGCTTTGCCCGTGTCAGATTTAACCCTCCTCCATGTGAGGTGTGTGGCAGAGGCATCGGCGGCGGTGGAGTGGTGAGGCGGCGGAGTGGCGGAGCGGCGGCGAGGTTGGCGAGGCAAGCCCTGGTGGCCAGTGAGCCCATCACCGAGTGGTGGAATCCGATGGAGGCAGAGGTGGAGTCGCGGAAGGCGCGGTGATGTGTGGTGCAGGCGCAGCGGAGCCGGAAATGGACGTTAGCCGGGGCTGTAGCTGTCACGAACCGCGCACCAGGACGGGCCCGCTGGAGGAAGCCACCAGACTGAAAGACCTACTCCTGACACCGGAGACGGAGCCTCGACACCTGAAGACCGCCTGGAAGAAGGAGCCGGAAGCCGGAGAAAAGCAAGCCCTGCCACCTGGGTGCCGGTAGGCAGCCCCGTCCCTGTGTGTACTATGTGGCCTTAGATAGGGAATTGGTATTTGAACCTGTATGTAAACTGCTCAGAGACCCTTCAGGGTCAGAGCGGTATATAAATCGAAGGTATAATTAAATAAATAAATAAATAAATAAATACAGAGCAAACACCAATACCTGAAGGGACCAAAATCGATAGAAGCTATGTCCTGAAATGTCTGCCAGCATTTTCCACATGAAAAATTTCACACCAAGGCCTCAGGCCTGTATTCTAATTACGTATGCCCCTGGGCTTGTAGATTTGTTGCATACATCAAGGTCTTCTGGAATCCCTAGGTCTAACAGGTAGCATTCCAGCTTCCCTTGCTCAAATTCCACTCTAAATTCTGAGACCAGAATGAATTCTGCATCCCAAATGAACATGTATTTGCTCCTCTTCCACCCTACTTCTATGACTCATGGGCAGGACACCCCCTTAACTCCTGGAAGCACTCTTTTGTCCTCTGCTGCACTTGGGGATTTCAGCAAGCACTGCCCTTATCTTTACAAGACTGAGTTTATAATCCTGTAAGAACTAGAAGGAGCTGCGGTGGCTCAAGTGGTTACGACGCTGAACTGCAGGCTGTGGAAGGTCAGTAGTTCAGCAGTTCGAGACCCAGGGGTGCCGCATGATGGAGTGAGCTCCCGTCTCTAGTTCCAGCTCCTGCCAACCTAGCAGTTCGAAAGCAAGAAATTGCAAGTAGATAAATAGGTACCACTTCGGTGGGAAGGTCACAGCGTTCCGTGCGCCTTGGTGTCTAGTCATGCCGGCCACATGACCACAGAAACGTCTTCGGACAGCTCTGGCTCTTCGGCTTGGAAACGGAGATGAGCACCGCAACCCTAGTGTCGGATTCGACTGGCTTTCGAGCAAGGGAACCTTTACTTTCGAAGCTGTGGTGGCTCAAGTGGTTGCTGAACTGCAGGCTGTGGAAGGTCGGTAGTTCAGCAGTTCGAGACCCGAGTGTGCCGCATGATGGAGTGAGCTCCCATCTCTAGTTCCAGCTCCTGCCAACCTAGCAGTTCGAAAGCAAGAAATTGCAAGTAGATAAATAGGTACCACTTCGGTGGGAAGGTCACAGCGTTCCGTGCGCCTTGGTGTCTAGTCATGCCGGCCACATGACCACAGAAACGTCTTCGGACAGCTCTGGCTCTTCGGCTTGGAAACGGAGATGAGCACCGCAACCCTAGTGTCGGATTCGACTGGCTTTTGAGCAAGGGAACCTTTACCTTTAAGAACTAGAAGTGTGGTGTGGTGTTTTTTTTTACTGCAAGATTGAATTTTCAGCTTGTGGACCTCTCAGCCATTCTGGTTCAATGGCACCAAGAACAGGCAAAAAACAGACCCTTGTTCGATTTCCCTTAAGCCTCTCCTTGTGCGTTCAGCCTGCCCCCCCCCCTTCCCGGTCAGTGACAATAAGTTCAACCAAAGCTCACGTTACAAGCCTGAAACTTTCTGCACCCCTTCAGTAGAGCTGGGTCTCTTCCTGTGGGTCTCTCCCTCACCTCCAGGAGCCCTCACAAGGACACATCTGCCCCTGATAGCTGCTGCGCATTTCAGAAAAGGTATTGCTTTCGTTCATCCCCAGAGACACTGACTTTCGCCTTTGATGCACCACATCAACAATATCGCTCTCCTTCACTACAGATTCTTGTGCCTTGTGGCCGTCCTTCCTTGACACAGCTGCCTTTCTCGGTCTTCCAGCCCCCCTTAGATGTTGTTTGACATCACAGTGGACACAAGAGTGTGTCTCTTAGTAACCAGAGAACTCAGCAGCAGCAACAAGCTGGGGGGGAGAGTGTTGGGACCCAGCCAGTCTGCCTGCCTGCCTCCCGGGAAAAGAAATTTAGCTTGGCTCCACAATGCAAGGAGCCCAGGAGGAGGAGGAAGAGGAGGAGGAGGAACAGGAGGGTGTCAATGAGACACTGATCCGAAAGCATAAGCTTCCACTGTCTGCGCAGTCTGCTTTCAGCTACATCCCACCCCGGCGCACAGACCCCCCGGAGCTCAGTTATTTCCACCAGGAGTGCAAGGTATGTACAGAAGGGGGGAGGGGATCCAGTTGGAGGGCAGAGGAGTGGGATGGGGGAAGATGGGGAGAAAGACGGGGGGCAAAGTACCTGTGCTTGTCCGTGGTAGCAAAATAAAACACAAGTGCAGTGGCACCTTAAAGACTAACTTCTTTTTATTTCTGAAAGCTCTATATGACCCCCTTTCTAGGCAATTTTTGTAAAGTTAAAATACAAAGAAACTATTATTCCTGAATTTAAAAGAAGAAAAATCAACACATTTTAAAATTGCATCAATTAAAACGCACTGAACGTTCAACAGGATCGCTTCTTGGTTATCCTAATGCTGAATTAATGTCAATGGCTTGAACTTTAAGAACAGCTGGAGTATATTTGGCAACAGCCGGAGTGGTGCAAATTGCATTCCCAGACAGATCAAGTATGTGATAATCCTCTGAGCCAGTCTAGTGTAGTGGTTAAGTGCGCGGACTCCAATCCGGGAGAACCGGGTTTGATTCCCCACTCCTCCACATGCAACTGCTGGTGTGACCTTGGGTCAGTCACAAGTTCTGTCAGAGCTGTTCTCTCAAGGGCAGTTCTCAAGAGAGCTCTCTCAGCCCGACTTCTGGTTTTTGGCGACTTGCAGGCGGGTGTGCTCCATCACAGCTCTGATGTGAGTGACCTGCAAAACATGCCAATGGGGAGGGGTCCAAGTTGATCTTGGGCCCCCTCGACCCCTTCTAATGTCCTGGCCCCACTGGTGGGGCGTGTGAGGTGCCTCTCCCAAGGCTCCTTTTTGCCCCGATAGGTCCCCGTGGCACGGAGCCAGCAATAGCAGCAAGAGGCGCATACTGGCCAGAGTGCACAAGTGATCTAAAGAAATGATCCTCTCTACATGCTATATTCTACATTGTTAGTGTTCTTTGAGGGGGTGAACAAACATGTGGACAAGGGGGATCCAATAGATATTATTTACCTTGACTTCCAGAAAGCTTTTGATAAAGTTCCTCATCAAAGGCTCCTAAGTAAGCTCAAAAATCATGGGATAGAAGGACAAGTTCTTTTATGGATCAAAAACTGGCTAGTTCATAGAAAACAGAGAGTGAGTGTAGGTGGGCAATTTTCTCAGTGGAGGGTGGTAAGCAGTGGGGTACCGCAGGGATCAGTACTTGGTCCACTGCTTTTTAACTTGTTCATTAATGATTTGGAGTTGGGAGTAAGCAGTGAAGTGGCTAAATTTGCGGATGATACGAAGTTGTTCAGGGTGGTGAAAACCAGTGAGGATTGTGAGGCACTCCAAGGGGATCTGTCAAGGATGGGCGAGTGGGCGTCAACATGGCAAATGGGGTTCAATGTGGCCAAGTGCAAGGTGATGCACATTGGAGCCAAAAATCCTAAATATAAATACACGTTGATGGGGTCTGAACTGGCAGAGACTGATCAATAGAGAGATCTTGGAGTTGTGGTAGATAACTTACTGAAAATGTCGAGACAGTGTGTGACTGCAATAAAAAAGGCAAATGCTATGCTGGGGATTATTAGGAAGGGTATTGAACCTGAAATGCTACTTCTGGGACTTAAAATGGAAGAAGTCAACATTGCAAAACGGACTCTGATGGGGTATATGATTACAACTGCTAGAATGACATATGCTCAATGGCTGGAAACAAGAAAGAACTCCCGAAATTTGGGAGTGGCTAAAAACGTTACTCTTTATGGTTGAAATGGATAAAATGACAAGAAAGCTTAAGAATCAGGAAGCAGAAGAATTTTTCACAGATTGGAAGGACTTTAAAGAATACTTCGAGAAATATTGGGATGTAAAAAACAACTTATTTTGCTTTGATAACTATTGAAGAAAGAGGGCCATTCAGAATAAGTTTAAACATATAAGAACAATAGTTAAAAGATATGTTACCTGTAGAATTTGATTAATGAGTAAGGGGGAAAAGAGGGGGAAATAGAAGATTTGGGCTGGAGGTTGGAGCACTGTGGGAAGCCAGAAGGGGTGGGTTATTAGGAGAAAGGGATATATGACAGTTTGTAAGGTGATGTACAGTTCGGTTTATTGATATATCCTAATAAAAATTGTTTTTTTAAAAAAAGGAAGGGTATTGAAAACAGATCAGCCAATATCATAATGCCCCTATATAAATCAATGGTGCGACCTCATTTGGAATACTGTGTGCAGTTCTGGTCACCACACCTTAAAAAGGATATTATAGCTTTGGAAAAAGTGCAGAAAAGGGCAACTCGAATGATAAAAGGGTTGGAACACTTTCCCTATGAGGAAAGGTTAAAGCGCTTAGGGCTCTTTAGCTTGGAGAAAAGACGACTGAGGGGTGACATGATCGAGGTTTATAAGATTATGCATGGGAAAGAGCAGGTAAAGAAAGAGGTACTTTTCTCCCTTTCTCACAATACAAGAACCCGTGGGCACTCCATGAAATTGCTGAGCGGTCGGGTTAGAACGGATAAAAGGAAGTACTTATTCACCCAAAGAGTGATTAACACATGGAATTCACTGCCACAGGAAGTGGTGGGTGCTACAAGCATGGACGGCTTCAAAAGGGAATTAGATAAGCATATGGAGCAGAGGTCCATCAGTGGCTATTAGCCACAAGGTATAGCTAGGGGCTCTGGGGCAAGTGATGCTCTGTCTTCTTGGTGCTTGGGGGGGGGGTCAACAGTGGGAGGGCTTCTAATGTCCTGGCCCCACTGGTGGACCTCCTGATGGCACCTGGTATTTCTGGCCACTGTGGGATACAGAGTGTTGGACTGGATGGGCCTTTGGCCTGATCCAACATTGGCATCTCTTATGTTCTTATATGGAGCAGAGGTCCATCAGTGGCTATTAGCCACAAGGTATAGATAGGGACTCTGGGGCAAGGAATGCTCTGTCATCTTGGTGCTTGGGGGGGGTCAACAGTGGGAGGGCTTCTAATGTCCTGGCCCCACTGGTGGACCTCCTGATGGCACTAGTATTTCTGGCCACTGTGTGACACAGAGTGTTGGACTGGATGGGTTTTTGGCCTGATCCAACATTGGCGTCTCTTATGTTCTTATTGTATAACCCTTGCTCGTTTGGTGGAGAAATACTCTGGTTCAGGTGTGGGGGGGAAATATTTTCTGCTTTCCTTGACTTAAAAGGGGACTTTGACTCTATTGTGTAGTGGGTTGCCGCATGGATAGACGACAGACGATGACGTAGTGCATAGCACGCTTTATTTGGCACACAACAAGACAGGGGACAAACGGCCCCGGGGGCCAACTATATACATCCCTGGGGACACCCCCCTGGTCACCATTGGTGGGTTTGAATCTCCTGCCACGGATCCCATTGGCTCCCCAGTGGAGGGACTAGGAGCCTAGCCCCTATTGTTGTTCCAGAGTCAAGCTCAGGCAGCACTGGCTGACCGCTGGCCCCCCGGTGGCGGTCAGCATACACAACAGACTCTAAACCCAGGAACTTCCTGTGCGTTAAACTGAATATGATGGGAACAGATAAACAATTACTTTTGCTCATCCGGAAACTATACTCCTCTACCAGTTGCCAAGTAAGACATGGGAATTCCGGTACATTAACACTTAAGATTTTGACAAATCAAGGGGTCCAAGAAGGCTGCATTTTGGCACCCTGTTTATTTAATTTATTTTTGAATGATTTAGACCCTTCTCTGCGTGCGGTTGATGGTCATTGTCTTAAACTGGGTTGAGAACACATCTTATTGTGAGAATAACTCTTTACCTGTAATTGCATCCAGGACTTGACAGGCATATCCTTGGAGTGCCAAATTGCGTAAATTATGCAGCCATGTGCCTTGAGACAGGGCAGCACCTCTTAGTGACTAGAGCTTAGCTATCAACCTTAAAATTCTGGTTATGCCTTTACTTTAGAACAGAACCTGAGAGCTATGTCTGTTTGCTGCTGTCAGACTCATTTACATCTAATTGGCCAACCTCAATACTGAGAAAAATACAATCTGTTGATATCTCCTTTGACTTGTGTTAGGTGAATCTCAAATATTTAGAACTTTGAGGCAGAGTATCCTTCATAGTGAAAAACAAACTCTCTGTTTCAGTATTAATTGCTCCCCTCTGAAGTTCAACATAACATCGAGAAATGGGCTTATAGCAGCCTATTTTTTTACAGTTTACAGCCCCATCATTAAGACGAGCTTTTATGCTTGCATGCTTCGAAGCTTTACCATATGCGGTCCTTGATGGTAGATTTGCAAATGTTCTCTACCCTGAAAGGACCTGTCTATGTAGTAGCAGGAAAACAGAATCAATTGCCCACATCTTGCTTAGTTGTGAATTCTACAACAAAATACGGGGTGTCCTAATCAGTCCCCTTTTGATCCATAGGCACAGTTGCCCAGAAGAGAGACTAGTATCTAGGGTTGCCAAGTGTAAATTCCTCCGGAGCGGAGGACTCCCGTCCGGAGTCTGGAGCATCCGGAAGTGATGTGACGATGCCGGGCACGCTGGGGGCAGGGCCACGACCATCCGAGGGGAAACCATAGAGTTTTCCCTCGGATGACCGTGGCCCCGCCCCCAGCATGACTGGCGTGGTCATGTCACTTCCAGGTGATGCACACGTCGGGGTGGGGTTCCCCCCGGGGCCCAATCCGCCGCCGGCGGGGAACGGGCCTCTGGGGCGGGGGTTTCCCCGCCCCCCGGGGGGACTTGGCAAGCCTACTAGTATCCTTGCATCAAATCTCCACCCTCATATCACCTTTGCGGTGGGCAAGGTTTCTCTCTATTGCTATGAGGGTTAGATGCTATGAGGGTTAGAGAATATAAGGTATCTCTCTCTGTATATGCCCCGGAGAGCCTTGCACTCCACTGAACACCTTCTAGTAGTCCCTAGCCTGAAGGACATCTGATGAGCCTTAACCAGGGCCAGGGCCTTTTCTGCTCTGGCCCCCGCCTGGTGGAACACGCTCCCGATTGAGATCAGGGCCCTGCAGGACTTGCTACAATTCCGCAGGGCCTGTAAAGCGGAACTGTTCCCAGGGCTCTGGTTGAGGCGGTGGGTTTTTTTTAATCATCTTGACCTCCCCTGCCCATAGCAGGCCTACAGATGCCCACTAGCCGACCAACATCTAACAAGACGTGAATTAGGCTGCTTGGGATAGATGTTATTTGCTGCTTGTCATCTTGTTTTTATTTAATTGGTTTTAATTTTATATTGCTTGTTTAATCCTTGTTGTGAGCCGCCCTGAGCCCATCATGGGATAGGCTGGAATATACAGGTGATAGATAGATAGATAGATAGATAGATAAAGGTTAAAGCTCTGGTGGGATGTGTGGTGTGTTCAATGTGCCAATGTATGTATGTAAACGCAGTGATTGAAACACTATGTGAAGCTTCATCCTGGGCTAGGATCCCAATCCCTCAATTACTATTGGTAGCCCAGGAAGAGACCACCAATCACCAACATCCAGTTCCATGAGAGGGAACACTTGTGATTGGTCCTTATCCGTACAACCTCATAGGTTGGTATTGTAAAATAGGGCGTGGCTATATTAGCCGGGAGAGTTTAAAAGAAGAACAGCTTCGATGCTAAAGCTGTTCTGGCTATTCGGGTTGATCTGTTGGAGTTGGGTTACGAGTTGCTGAATAAAGCTGAATCTTTTGCTGAATCACTCTCCGACTCGTTTGTTAAGCAGCCGACTTAACAGGACGATTGTCTTCGTATATTTAAGATTTGTGGGGTTTATTATGTTTTATTTCCCTTTTTTAATCTGTGCCAATAAAGGTTTTGACTGACTGACTGCCAACGTCATCGTTTGCCCAGAATGCCCAAAAACCTTGGACCAGTCCTGGATGAGTCACCAGCCCAAGTAAACTTGTGGGTCACCATACTGAAAACATGGGAACCATTGCCTATCTGAGACAAGGCGGCAGACACAGGGCCAATGAAAGCCTGTCAAGGGCCAGCCCTGCCTTACCGGCAGCCCTCACCAAGCCTCTGGACAAGAGGATCTCCGGATTTCCATCTACCACCTTGAAAATATATGTGATTATTACAATTGAAGGGGGGGGGGAACCCTGTAGTTTAACATTATTTTAATAGCTGTCAAAGGCTTTTAATTATAAAAAGTTTGCCGACCCCTGTGTCAGTTGAATAGTATAAAGGTAAAGGTAAAGGTTCCCTTGCTTGAAAGCTGAATCTGACTCTAGGGTTGCGGCACTCATCTCCGTTTCCAAGCCGAAGAGCCAGCGCTGTCCGAAGACATTTCCGTGGTCATGTGGCTGGCATGTCTAGACACCAAGGCGCACGGAACGCTGTTACCTTCCCACCGAAGTGGTCCCTATTGATCTACTTGCAATGTCTTGCTTTCGAACTGCTAGGTTGGCAGGAGCTGGAACTGGAGACGGGAGCTCACTCCGTCATGCGACACCCGGGTCTCGAACTGCTGAACTACCAACCTTCCGCAGCCCGCAGTTCAGTGTCTTAACCACTGCTTCATAAACCCTTGAGTTAATGAGACATGTTCTTTCTCTCCTCCACCCCAACCCTCAATTATTTTAAGCCAGGAACTGTTTCCTTGTACGACTGCATCTTTAAAAGACCCGTTGGCTATGATGCGAAACTCCATCGATGTGACAGAGAGCACGCGAAGAGCAGAGGACTTCATATCAACGATGAGGTGACTCAGTTGTGGACTCGGCAGAGTGTGTGGTACAGCTTCTTGACGTTTCCTCTGAGTTCCTCAGAGGGGTGAACCTACCTGTGAGGCAGGTTAGGCTGAGAGCTTGCGGACTGGCCCAGGTTCACCCACCAAGAAGGTGCCCCGACACTCCTTGTTAATCATTTTAACCAGTGATCCTAAACTCAGATGAGGAAGTTAAAATTAGATTAAGTGCCAGATAAACCGGGGGGGGGGGAGCAAGGCTCTCCGGAGGAATTTGACCCGCAGTTGCGCAATCACACAGTCCTTTGAAGCTGCAGGGGAAGCCCGCCACTGCGTGATCAGACGCAACTGCGGGTGAGTCGGGGTTTTTTTTGGCCATTTGTTTCCGATTTGCTTAAACAAGGAATTGATGAATGGACCATCCCGATGCCATGAGAGCGCACTGGAGTGATAAGACAAGGGAAAGTCCATCCGTGGACCATAGCAACCCGGTGTCTTTTAACTCCGCTTCTGCGGCGGAGCAAAACGGGTTGCCGACGGCTGCGGGGCGCTTCTCAGATGTTGTTGTCTGATCATACCCTTTAAATCTGTCCGGCATTCGCACCTGTGTCGGGTCTAATTGTGCATATGATCGCACCCTAAAATTGGTTTCAAGCAATGGGCCTGATTCCTCTTGAAGCTTACCTTTTTTAAGGCTTTAGGCAAGCCACTTCCTTGCAGTCTCAGGTCACTCCGTCTGTTAAATGCAGAGGGATAGTAAAAGGACTGACCTACCTTACAAGCACGGAGCTGCGGTGGCTCAAGTGGTTAAGACGCTGAACTGCAGGCTGTGGAATGTCGGTAGTTCAGCAGTTCGAGCCCCGGGTGCCGCATGACGGAGTGAGCTCCAGCTCCTGCCAACCTAGCAGTTTGAAAGCAAGAAATTGCAAGTAGATAAATAGGGACCACTTCGGTGGGAAGGGAACAGCGTTCCGTGCGCCTTGGTGCTTAGTCATGCCGGCCACATGACCACGGAAACGTCTTCGGACAGCGTTGGCTCTTCGGCTTTGAAACAGAGATGAGCACCGCAGCCCTGGAGTCGGATTCGACTAGCTTTCGAGCAAGGGAACCTTTACCTTTACCTTATAAGCAGAATAGGAAAAGGCACCTTAAAGGCCAATTGATATATTAAAGCATCAGCTTTTGACAATCCAAAGGTCATTTTTCTAGAGGCATGAAATATTACAACCTCGTTGTAAGGACTAGTTAAGCAAGGTAGTATGAAACATTTTCAAAATGTTTAAAGCACTGCTGAGTATCACCATTATTAGCAGTACCTGTTTTATCGCAAAGTAGCTGTTTTATTGCAAATGAATTCCAGAAACAGGCTAGAATGGGAGATTGCTGAATTACAAGGAACCCCCAAGACTTAACAGAGATAACGGGTTCTTATCTCACTACACATGCGAAGTCACTTAGTTCTCACATCTGTTTGTTAACTCTTTTATCATCTGTATGTGAATTTGCTGCTATTCACAGGTCTTACTATCTGTTTTAATCCAGTCTTAGCTATACTTATTGCTCCGTTACTTACACATCTTGATTCTAATTAGCCCTTCCTGGCAACTAACCCCAAATGTAATGGTTGGCGAAGTCTGTTTAAATGTGTCTGAAGAAGTGTGCATACACATGAAAGTTTATACCCAGAATTAAACGTTGTTGTTCTTAAAGGTGCCACAGGAGGACTCAAACATTCTTAGTAACTGATTTTGTACTGTTGGAGAGACTGAAAGTGGCTGTGAATGGATTTTAATGCTAGTATTGGCCTAACACCTAGGAGGCCTGGATTCGAGTTTCTGTTCAACCATGTAGCTCCTTGGTTGTCGTTGGACCAGTCAGTGTCTCTCAGCCTGACCTACCTCACGGGCCTGAGGCTCAAATGAAGACAGGGGAGCAACATACACTGTCTTGAGCTCTCTGGAGGGAAGGCAGGATTGAAATGTAGTAGAAATAAATCTATGATGTGAAACTCTGGAAGCCCCTATGCCAGTGTGCATGCATTGATTCCAGCAAGAGCGCAGTGCGATGTTTTTGTTTCAGGCACAAAAATGTTTCAAGGAAATGTTGGTGATTAAAGGCAGATCACGGAGCTGCGGTGGCCCAAGTGGTTAAGACGCTGAATTGCAGGCTGTGGAAGGTCAGTAGTTCAGTAGTTCGAGACCCGGGTGCCGCATGATGGAGTGAGCTCCCATCTCTAGTTCCAGCTCCTGCCAACCTAGCAGTTCGAAAGCAAGAAATTGCAAGTAGATAAATAGGGACCACTTCGGTGGGAAGGGAACAGCGTTCTGTGCGCCTTGGTGTTCAGTCATGCCGGCCACATGACCACGGAAACGTCTTCGGACAGCGCTGGCTCTTCGGCTTGGAAACGGAGATGAGCACCGCAACCCTAGAGTCGGACTCGACTGGCTATCGAGCAAGGGAACCTTTACCTTTAAAGGCAGACCATAAAGCTAAGGAACAGATCCAAAGCGAAATAGGGACACCCGGGGTGTCCCAGAAAGTGTGACAGCCCCCGCCCTTCTGTCCACGGTCCTGTGTCCTGAAAGGGCAGCCTGACAGGAAGCACTGAGACACGTGAAAGGGGGAAAGCCCGTCAGGCTGTGAAAGGCCCAGGAGCACAGCTGGGATTAGAGACGGCAACTCCGAAGTTCTCCTCCCGTCGACGACTTCATATTTTAACCAGGCTTATTTATTTGAAGAGGCTCACATTTGCACTACATTTATTTCTTTATTTTTTAATCATTCAATTTATAGGCCGCCCTCCCCGCCAAGCGGGTTCAGGGCGGCTAACCACAAGGCCACGCATGCCGATATATAAAACAAGATAAAAACACACAATTACAATATAGACAGAATAAAGTGCTTCAAGATGGTTACAAAGGATGATCTTCCGTTTTAGAGATGGTATCCAGAGGATACTTAGTCAGTTCTTAAACTCAGTGGTGTCCGCACGCCATAGTGCCGCAGTTTGATCGTCATGGGCCATTCCAATAACCTGCTGTTTCCAAGTTCGTTGTTGTTGTTGGTGGTGGTGGTAGTGGTGGCTTCTACTCAAAAGCCTGGCGGAAGAGCTCCGTCTTGCAGGCACCGCAGAACTGTGCAAGGTCCCGCAGGGCCCTGATCTCCTCCGGGAGCTCGTTCCCACCAGGTAGGAGCCGCCACCGAAAAACCCCTGGCCCTAGTAACAGCCAGCCTGGCCTCCTTGGGGCCTGGTGTCACCAACAGATGTTGCGTCCCCGACCGTAGTGCCCTTGGGGGTACGTACAGGGAAAGTACCTCAGGTATGTCAGACCCTGGCCGTAAAGGGCTTCAAAGGTAAGAACCAGCACTTTGAAACAAATCCGGGAGCAAAATACAGGGAGCAAAAGAGGGTGAGTATGTAGCGTGCTGGCCCAGGAGACCCAGATACCGATTCGCCCTCTGCCTGGGGCCGTCACCCACTCTCGGCCTGACCTGCCTCACAGGGTGGTTGTGAGGATAAAATGGAGAGGAGAAGGATGCAAGCCCCACCCTCGGTTTCCGCTGGGGTGAACAGTGGGGTGTTAGCGAACTAAATAAGTCCTAACTTCCTAAGAACAAAGTCAGAGTCCAATGGCACCTTTAAGACCAACAAAGTTTTATTCAAGGTGTGAGCTTTCGTGTCCATGCAAACCTCGTCAGACAATGAAATGAAATTACATATCATAGCTGTATATATAGGAGCGGTCTGTTAAATTAGGATGCAAAATCATGAGGATTTTTTTTAAAAAACAGATCAAAAGAATGACAAGCTCGGTTTCTGGTTATCATCTGTTTCGGTTCAACTGGGGGGGAACAACCTACGTAATAAATATGTTAGAACTGGAGATTGATGTGTCCCAATTTGTGAGAATCCCATCCTTGGACCCCCCCCCCCCGCCCATCCACCTTGATCGAAATAAAAGTCCTAACCATGCGGAACCTTTATTTATTTATTTATTTATTTTATTTAATTTTCGACTTATTATACCGCCCTAACCCCTAGGGGTCTCTGGGCGGTTTACAGGAATGTTCTAAGAACTTTTTACCCTGTCTAAGGCCACATACTTGTAGGGGTGGGGATTTCCTACCAGCACCCTTCTGGTGGGCCCGCTGCGTCCTTTTTCTGGCTCGGCTTTTTCTTCCTTCTCGGTGGTATTTCTGGCATCTTTTCCACTGGCCGGCTGCTTTCCTTGGTGGGACCGTCTCTCGGCGCATGCCTTCGTGCTTGCTTCGGCTCTGTCCTGACCGGCCAGTGGTTTTTCACATCAACACCCCCCTCTTTTTGCAGGCCACGGAAGCCTAGTGGTCATTTGAGGTCCCACCCCCAGAAAATTGCTCTACGGTCCACACAGAGCAGGATATGGAGCAGCTCCAGCTTCTCCTGCCCATTCTCCCCTTGGGGCGGGAGCCTCTCCTGTTGGCTCTGTGGCATTGCCCGAGGGTCCTTCCGGCTGCAGCTGATGGGAGTGAGGATGGAGTCAGCCGGAGTCCTAAATGACATGTGAACGAGAGAGGAGAGTAGTGGAAGCTGTGGCAACTCTGTCTCCTGTTTTGACAATAAAGACAGAGGTTGTGGCTACTGAGAAATGGCTCTCCACACGTTTATAACCTTTCTGCAGTTGGATTGAGAAACAACGCTCCCTCTAAGCTGTGGAGTCTTGTGAGCAAAAATTCTACTTTGTGAGCGACTGGCATTAAAGTGGCGGGCGAGCCATTTGGCTACTGCATAAATCAGTTTGCTCTGGAGCCATCCCTTCCTGAGCGAAGACAGAAATATGTGAGCTGGAGGCTAAAAAACCGTGAGCTCGCTCACACTAACTCGGCTTAGAGGGAACACTGTTTAGAAACCGTTTGGCTGCCTTGAATAGATTGGGACCGAAGAACATTCCATGAGGAAGGTCTCTTCAGCAAGAACCACTTGAGTCCAGTAATAGCCCAACAGCACCATAACTTGGGGCATCCCTAGTCGATACTCTCCAGTGTTGAACGGTCGTCTCTCAAGCTAACATTTAGATAGACTCAGGGCTTTTATTGTAGAAAAGGCCCAGCAGGAACTCATTAGCATAATAGGCCATACCCAACAGAAAAATTCATTAGCATATTAAGCCACACCCCTGGCAGCACAGTTCATTAGCATATTAGGCCACACACCCCGGTTACCAGAACTGTGGTCATCCAGCCACACCCACCTTTTGCTTCTTATTCTGTTTACTTTGTTGTCAAAACCCAGGGCTTTTTTTGTAGCAGATTTGCATGTTAGGCCACACACCCCTAATGTAGCCAGTCCTAATGAGTTTCTGCTGTTAGGTTTGGCCTGCTATGCTAATGAGTTCCTGCTGGGCGTGGCCAACTCAGGAGCCAGCCAGAACTCCGTTCCTGTGCGTTCCTGCCCAAAAATAGCCCTGGATAGACTTACTGGTGGGATTCCCCTGCCTGTTAGAGCCAGTGGTGTGAAACGAGGCCAGGAGCACTTGCAATGTGCTGATGCGTTTAAAGTGTCAGACTAGGATGTGGGTTCGAATCCTCACTCTGCCCTGGAAGCTCGTTGGGTGACCTCGGACCAGTCACACACTCTCAGCCTAGCCTACCTCACAGGTTTGTTGTGAGGATAAGACATAGGAGAGCAATGTAACAGTGAGAGAGGGGGGGAATTCGATACCTGGCCACCATTTTTAACAGCATTTGTGTGTCTACCTCTGCCCTTTCTCACTTTCATTTGGGGGGGGGGGTGTCTAGCCACCAATGTTCCCTCTAAGCTGTGGTGTCCTGCGAGCAAAAATTCTACTTTGTAAGCTACTGGCATTAAAGTTGTGAGCAGGCGATTTGGCTGCTGCATGAATTCGTTTGCTCTGGAGGCCCCTCCTTCCTGAGCTAAGGCAAAAATGTGTGAGCCGGAGGCTAAAAAACTGTGAGCTGGCTCACACTAACTCAGCTTAGAGGGAACACTGCGAGCCACACCAAGTAATAACATCTAAAAATGTTCTTAACAGGAAAAAGCAAGACCCGTGCCCGTCTTGGACTCCTCTGTGTATGGGAGACGCATTGAGAGGCCCGTGGAAGAGCTGATCCGAGACCACGTGCGCATCAACCATGTGCAAGCCGAATTCTATAGGAAGAATGGAATCACTTGCTTGGTCGAAAAATCTAACCAAAGCCTTGACCCAATCTAAGGCCCCCTTGCCCCAGCACAGAGCCAAGAACGTTCCTTTGCCTTGGGGGTCGATCTCTCCTTCCCCCAATCGTATTCTTTCTAGGTTGTCGCTGTGATTTTGGATCCCTTCCAATGCTGTGTGTCATCCTATGAATTCGTTACAGAATTTTTAAGCGAAATTAAATGGGCCATGCCTTGCTTTGGTGTGCTACAGGCTATAAACTTGAGCAATTAGCAACCGAATTGATGTGAACAGCATGACATCAGGTGATGCTATCTAGAAAAGGTGGCAGTTACTGCTACAAAAAGAGGATTCGGGTTGTATCTCGCACATCCCTGCTCAGTGAAGGAAGCTATGTGTTCCTCCATCAGTACCTTCCTCTTCTCGAGAACGGCTAAAGATCTGCGGGTTACAAGGCCAATTCATACCATAAGAACCAGATCTTAGAAAAAGACCAAGTCAGAGCAGTCACCTCCTACCCTTGCTCAATTGTGACTTTGTTTTTAGCCTTGGAAACGACAGTGATGTCTTATTGTACCAGTTATATAAAGCAGGCTTTCTCCTCAATGCAGCTGCAGAAAACATGGTTTTTGTGAACCTTTGTCTTCCGTGAACAATTAAGACGCACCTCAGCTAAGGAAAGATATGCAAACTGGACTTCATGAGAGACCTGCACAATTTGTGACCCCACTCACCTGATCACAGCCCCCCCCCCCGGAATGTTCTGGGCTCTGTGCCAGGGGCCGGAGACAGCTGCACCTTCTCTGGAGAGACCAAAGAGCCCCTGTGCATGCAGTGTCCAGCTGGCGCATTGTGCTGCAGAATCCCTTGCAAACAAGCCGTCCTTTCCCCGTTGCCCGTATTAGCTACTTCACCTTACTAGGTTTGCTGGGCATTATAAGTCAGGGTGAAGGCCATTTCACACAAGCAGGTCAGTGCTTCAGAGGGTGTTGGAGCGAAGTTTTCTAGCTTCAGGTCTCACGCCCTACTGAACAGCAAGCCTGGCCCCCAGTCAACCATCGAGGGGTGGTTCTTCCCTTTATCGAAATGCAAAGAAACACGCACTCATTCCCTGGGGCATAGTTTGGTGATGTCACATGAATACGTTCACATCACAGTGTCAGCATTTATTTGATGGCACAGAAAAACTCAAAACAATCCAAAGTCAGACGTAGAGATGTGACGGCCCGGAAAAAAAAACAGAAAAATTCGGGGAAACGGTTTTTTCGCGTTTTTTCCCTGAAGCCTTTTTGTTTTTTTCCGAAAAATTGGAAAAAGAAAAGAAAAAAAAATGATTATGGAACGTTTTATTTTAATATGATAAATAAAATATTTTAAGACCAGGTGTTCAAATATTTCCCAAATCATTTCTAAAATATATATATATGGTATCAGATTGATGTAATTTCTGTGCACTGAGGACAAGCAAGTCCTAGGTTACAAACTGAACCCTCCAATGCAAGAACAAGATGCATTTCTTCCTTTAGGAGGTGCAATTGTCAGAAGAAAATAAAAAAGTTTCAGTTTTGTATTTGCATGTGGGTGGGTATTCTGTAATAATTGTTTGGCTACACTATATTTTTTAATATGCTAGTTGTGATAATTTCATGCCAAGTAAAAATGTCCATAGTCATATTTTATGTTCCTAAAGTAACAGAATGACTTTCAAACTAGAAAAGACAAAAGAAATGCTAATGTAGCATTTTTTTCAATTTTTCCAAAAATTTCCGTTTTTTTCCGAGCTTCAAAATTTCCGGAAATTTTACATCTCTAGTCAGACACTGTAGTGCTACTGGGTCTGAATAGGCAAGCAAGGTCCCTTTTAAACATTATTTTTTTAAAAAAATGCCTAAAATGAACCTCTACGTGTAAATTGCTACACTTCTCTCCTGTAAATTTCGTAGTCATAGCCCCGTCAAGTTTCTTTGCCACCCCAGAACCAGTCCTGCTTTGTAGATGAGCCAGCCAGAGGGGAAGGGATCCAGCCTTCAGTGGCACCGATTCCAGTTCAAGCAACTGCCCATGATCAACCTCAAACAGCCTCGAAACAAAGCCACCTTTCTGTGTGCTTCACACATTTGGGGTGTGAAGGTTGCCCACGCAAATTCTACTGTGTTTTCTCTTTTTCATGTCGTCGAAAGACAGATGCAAATTAAAACAATCTAAATGGGGACTGGGTTTTTTTTTTAAAAAAAGAAACAAACTGGCTTATCAAATCGAGAATTTCCAAAAAACCAACGGAATAAAGTCATTCTCTGCAGTGTTATTTGGATTTGGTTGCGTCACCAGCTGAGTCTGTAGGAGTTGGGGAAAATTTTCTTGTGTAGATAGTCCACTATATCGGTTTGGCTCTCCAGCAATTCAAATTCGAAGAATGGAATCTAAGCAGGTAAAAAGAAGGGAGAATCCGTGAGTCAAGCCATGGCATTAGGTGGACAGGCAAAGCACTGCTAATCTGATTCTCTCCCACACATCTGGCCCCTCCGCAGTTTCTTCCCAGGTTTTAAAGGATTGCAACCTGGGCACCAAAACACAGCCCTTCCAACCCCCTGAAGGATGAGAGGAGGCAGCGGGAACGGCAGCCCCGGAAGGAGCAACAGTGGCCGGCCTGCCTCTCGCTTTCGTGGCTGATTCGTAAGAGCTCAATGCCCAGTCTGGAAGGAGAAGAACACTCTCTGGGGTTTGCTTTAATGCTGGCCTTTCCGTGGTGTGGTGGTCAAGAGTGGCAGACTCCAGTCTGGAGAGCCGGGTTTGATTCCCCCCTCCTCCTTCACATGAAGCCTACTGGGTGACCTTGGGCCAGCCACGGTTCTCTCGGAGCTCTCTCAGCCCCACGTGCCTCACAAGGCGCCTCTTGTGGGGAGAGGAAGGGAAAGGCAATAGCAAGCCACTCTGAGACTCCTTAGCGCAGAGAAAGGCAAAGGTAAAGGTTCCCTTCCTCGAAAGCCAGTCGAATCCGACTCTAGGGTTGCGGTGCTCATCTCCGTTTCCAAGCCGAAGAGCCAGCGCTGTCCGAAGACGTTTCCGTGGTCATGTGGCCGGCATGACTAAACACCAAGGCGCACGGAATGCTGTTCCCTTCCCACCGAAGTGGTCCCTATTTATCCACTTGCAATGTCTTGCTTTCGAACTGCTAGGTTGGCAGGAGCTGGAACTAGAGACGGGAGCTCACTCCGTCATGCGGCACACTCGGGTCTTGAACCGCTGAACGACCGACCTTCCACAGCCTGCAGTTCAGCGTCTTCACCACTTGAGCCACCGCAGCTCCCAGCGTATAAAACCCAACTCTTCTTCTTATATGAGAAATGCACTTTATTAAGGCAGCAGTCCTAGCCACGCTTGCCGGGAAGCAAGGCCCACCGAACTCAGTGGTTTTGCTTCCAAAGGTAAGGTTTTATTTATTACATTTTAATCTCACCCTTCAAGAAACTCAGGGGGGGAGGTCCGTTTGGGTCCACCTCTCACAACAGAGACCCAGCAAGCGTCACATCAGAGTGGCTCTCCCCACATGCCAACCTGCCCAGATGTACTTATTAAAAAAAAATCATGCCCCTGCTCACCAGACATCTCGCGAAGTAATAATACAATAAAATCATTAAAAAAACAGTAATATAAAAATTATCAATAATAAAACAAGCCCTAAAACCAATCCAGGGGATAAAAAACGGCACAACGAACACTCAGTAGTCTAAAACAACATCCATAAAACAGACTAAAAACAAACCATAAAAACAGGGAAAGAAGATGGAATGCCTTCGTTAAAACCCAGAGGGGGGGGGAGATTCTTTGGCCTGGTCTCTAAAAGACAATAAGGGAGGTTCCAGGGAAGCCTCAGTGCAGGGGGGGGGGAGAAGAGCATTCCAGAGGCGAGATGCCACCACCAAAAAAGCCCCGTCTCTGGACATCGCTGTCAGGATCCACAGCAAAACAACGAAGTACACGCTTCCAGGAAGGTTTTACTTTTATTGCAACGCCATAGATGCAATAACACGAACACTGTTAGGAATGGCGGACTACCTATGTGCATAATAGGATATAGGGCATTCGTATGTGCCCCACCCAGCAATACCCAATTAGATGGGCTCCTGCGCGCGGGCGATGGCAAGAGTCTGTAACGGTAGCGAAGCTGGGAACCAGAACGATCCCACGGAAGGTAGACAACACAACTCCTCCAGTAACTCTTAATAGATAAGCATTGCAGCTGTAAAGCGATTAAGCGCATGGGAAGGAATGCAAAGCAATTAGAATGTCTCTCCCTACTCATGGCAGCTTAGCTGACAATCGCCTGCCTCAGCTCTGCATGCAGGGGCACAGAGCTTGGCAAAGGGGTTGTTATGTGGCTGATTCCGAAGACTTACCTGTACCACTTCATAACCAACCAGCTTCAGGTGCCTTCTCTTAATGGCTTCTTTTCCCAGGAGGTTATGGCTGTTGATGCAGAACCTCTTTTGATCATCAATACAGAGAGCTATTCTGTCAAACCACACACAGAACAAGATTAAATCACACACAAAACATGATTAAATGCATTACAATCGGAATCAAATACATTGATTTGGGGGGCAAAGCCGGGAGCAGGCCATTTTCAGGCCTGACGAGCGGCCAGTGTGGCTGTGCTGTTACTCCCCTCCCTCCCGGACAGAGTCGAGGAGGACTATCCAGCCTCAGCACCACGATGCTCTGTGGGACGGCTTCGTCTTAAATCATTCTTGGGAGTCATTGTGGGATCCAGCCAGGGGGAAGCAACCTCCAGCGGGACCCGCAAAGACCAGCCCTCGGGCTCCCATGAACCCCAGAGGCCCCCCGACACGGTGTCTGTGGGCACCAGGCTAGAGATGTGAAGGCCCGGGGAAAAACGGGAAAAAATTAGGAAAAAAACTGGGTTTTTTCTGTTTTTTCCCCTGAGGTCTTTTTTGTTTTTTTCCAAAAAATTGAAAAAAGAAAAGAAAAAAAAATCGACCATGGAACGTTTTATTTTAACATGATGAATAAAATATTTTAAGACAAGGTGTTCAAATATTTTCCAAATCATTTCTAATATATATATATATATATATGGTATCAGATTGATCTAATTTCTGTGCACAAAGGACAAGCAAGTCCTAGGTTACAAACTGAACTCGCCAATGCAAGCACAAGATGCATTTCTTCCTTTAGGAGGTGCTGTTGTCAGAAGAAAATAAAAAAGGTTTCTGTTTTGTTTTTGCATGTGGGAGGGTATTAATTAATTAATTAATTAATTATATTTATATCCCGCCCATCCCACGAACGGGCTCAGGGCGGCTAACACTGCGGTACGATGTACCTAATGACATACAAAAACATTAAAACTCTATAAATATCATAGACAAATACTTTAAAACATAAATTAACAGTTTCTACTAAAAAGCATGTAAACAACAACATTAGATGGCGCACTTCCAGATCTCATACTACATTACTCATCATCCCTCGTGCCGGAGAGCCTAGCGATATCCAGGACCAGATCCAAGGTTCCATCCTTCACTAGGATCATTGGTGGTAACAGTGGTGGCGGCTCCTATTGGAATGCCTGGTGGAAGAGCTCCGTCTTGCAGGCCCTGCGGAACTGCAAAAGGTCCCGCAGGGCCCTGATCTCCTCCGGGAGCTCATTCCACCAGTAAGGAGCCGCCACAGAAAAGGCTCTGGTCCTAGTGCTGGTGAGCCTTGCCTCCTTGGGGCCCGAAATAGTCAACCGGTGTTAGGCCCCAGACCGTAGTGCTCTCTGGGGTATATATGGGGAAAGGCGGTCCCTCAGGTAGGTCGGACCCATTCTGTTTGTAAAAACTGTTTGGATACACTATATTTTTAATAGGCTAGTTGTGATAATTTCATGCCAAGTAAAAATGTCCATAGTCATATTTTATGTTCCTAAAGTAACAGAATGACTGTCAATCTAGAAAAGACAAGAGAAATGCTAATGTAGCATTTTTTTCAATTTTTCCGAAAATTTCTGTTTTTTCCCGAAAAAAAAAACTGGGGGGGGGGGATCGGTTTTTTTTCCCGAGCTTCAAAATTTCCGGAAATTTAACATCTCTATGCCAGGCAAGCATTTGCAGAGTCTGGGTGGGGCCAGATGGGGATTCTGGCTTCTCATTGGCTATGTTGATTTTTAAAAAAAATTGCTTCGACAGCAGCTGCCTCCACAGCACAAGGATTTTCACTGCGTGCCTGAAGGCGAGCCACGGGTCAGCGAGAAAATGTTTTTTTAAATAATATGTTCATTTAAAAAGGCATCCTGTTTGTTTATTTATTTATTTATTTATTTGATTTTATGTCCTGCCCTCCCCCGCGAGGGTGCTCTGGGTGCTCACGACAGTCACATCACAACGCTGTCACAAGAAGCAATATCAAAACAACGTTAAAACACACAATTTAAAAGCAATTCAAATAAGATGGCGGACAATGCTCCCTCTAAGTCTTGTGAGCAAAAATCCTACTTTGCGAGAGACTGGCATTAAAGTGGTGGGCAAACGATTTGGCTGCTGCATCAATTAGTTTGCTCTGGAGCCCTCCTTCCTGAGCTGAGACAAAAGCCTGTGAGCTAGCTCACATTAATTCAGCTTAGAGGGAACACTGATGGCAGACCAATTCATGGGAGTCCAGAGTGCTCCCACGAAATTCAGCGGCAATTCGACAGCAAGCTGATTCAGATCAGAGAATCTGAATCAGCCCGCAGCAGCCTGAAAGGGGCCAGAGGCTAAAAAACAGTGAGCCAGCTCACACCAACTCAGCTTAGAGGGAACACTGCTGCCAACCCTATAAGACAAAGACGTGTGAGCCGGAGGCTAAAAAACAGTGAGCCAGCTCACACCAACTCAGCTTAGAGGGAACACTGCTGCCAACCCTATAAGACAAAGACGTGTGAGCCGGAGGCTAAAAAACGGTGAGCCAGCTCACACCAACTCAGCTTAGAGGGAACACTGCTGCCAACCCTATAAGACAAAGACGTGTGAGCCGGAGGCTAAAAAACGGTGAGCCAGCTCACACCAACTCAGCTTAGAGGGAACACTGCTGTCCACCCTATAAGACAAAGATGTGTGAGCCGGAGGCTAAAAAACAGTGAGCTAGCTCACACCAACTCAGCTTAGAGGGAACACTGCTGTCAACCCTGTAAGACAAAAATGTGTGAGCCGGAGGCTAAAAAACAGTGAGCCAGCTCACACCAACTCAGCTTAGAGGGAACACTGCTGTCAACCCTGTAAGACAAAAATGTGTGAGCCGGAACACTGCTGTCAACCCTATAAGACAAAAAATGTGTGCGCCGGAAGCTAAAAAACGGTGAGCCGGCTCACACCAACTCAGCTTAGAGGAAACACTGGTCCTCAGGGCTATTCAGAACCACCCATTCCCCCAATCAGTACTGAAAGGTGAGGACAGAGCAGGAAGCTCCTACAGCACTTCCCTCTCCCACCACACGCAAACTCTGTTGGAGCAAAATGACAGTTCAAACTTATCCACGAGGAGATCACTTCAGAACAGGTTCACGGTGAAGACAAGGGCCCCCAAAGCTGCACTCGGCTTACCTGTGGCTCACCTCATCGTATTGGACGGCAGGCAATACAAGCCCTTCTTCGTCAAGTTTAATCTCAATATCTGGTGTGAGGAAGGGACAAGAAGGAACCAGCAGTTATTTTCCTGCAGGACTGGATGTAATTTTTTTTTTTGCCTGTTTGTACAATACAGACAGAGTGAGCTCCCGTCTCTAGTTCCAGCTCCTGCCCACCTAGCAGTTCGAAAGCAAGAAATTGCAAGTAGAAAAAAAGGGACCACTTTGGTGGGAAGGGAACAGCGTTCCGTGCGCCTTGGTGTTTAGTCATGCTGGCCACACAACCACGGAAACATCTTCGGACAGTGCTGGCTCTTCGGCTTGGAAACGGAGATGAGCACCGTAACCCTAGAGTCGGACTTGACTGGCTTTCGAGCAAGGGAAGCCTTTACCTTTTTTACAATACAGATGAGACACATTTTTCTTATTCTTGGTGCATGAAATGGGGAATGTCTGGCAGCTGTTAAGCAGGACAGAGCTCTGCCGGTCCAGCCAAAGTCTGTCAGCTTTGGTCTTCCAAACAGCGGCCTCACTGCACTGTGAAATTTCAAACCTCAGCCCAGCAAGAAGGCCAAAGTTCTTCTCTGTATCTTATTTCTGAATTCTGTCCATTTGGGAGCAGGTGACAGAGGCCATATATTGGGACAGGGGAAATGAGTGGAGAAGAAGAGAGTTCTTACTGATGTCTCTGTAGGGGTGGGTGGGTGGGTGGGTGGTGTTCACCTGGACATTTTCAGTCCCTCAGCTCTCTCTAAGCATTAGGTGCAGCACTCCTGTGGGCTGGTCTGTCATGCAGGTGCTCAGACTACAGCCTTGGGGAACTATCTGCTTGCTGTGCGGTCATTCCTGAGCCCGGGCAACTAGAAAGATAAAAGGGCTGGAACACTTTCCCTATGAAGGAAAGTTAAAGCGCTTTGGGGCTCTTTAGCTTGGAGAAATTATGGCTATGGGGGGACGTGATCGAGGTTTACAAGATTATGCATGGGATAGAGCAGGTAGAGAAGTACTTTTCTCCCTTTCTCACAATACAAGAACTCGTGGGCACTCCATGAAATTGCTGAGCAGTCGGGTCAGAACGGATAAAAGGAAGGACTTCTTCACCCAAAGTGTGATTAACACAAGGAATTCACTGACACAGGAGGGAGTGTTGGCTACAAGCATGGACGGCTTCAAGAGGGAATTGTAGATATAACATACGGAGCAGAGGTCCATCAGTGGCTATTAGCCACAAGGTATAAGTAGGAACTCTCGGTCTGGGGTAAGTGATGCTCTGTCTTCTTGGTGCTTGGGGGGGGGGGGCAACAGTGGGAGGGCTTCTAGTGTCCTGGCCCCACTGATGACATCTGGTATTTCTGGCCACTGTGTGACACAGAGTGTTGGACTGGATGGGCCTTTGGCCTGATCCAACATGGGCTTCTCTTATGTTCTTATATTCTTATGCCTGTGATCCCTTGGGGCTGAGTATATGCAAAATACAGACTTTTCTGGAATGGATGCAGCACTTATGTCTACTGTGGCGAAGCTCCCTCCACCCAAGGATTTATCCCCGTAATTTCAATCATTGTGACTGCTCTCTGTCCATGTACAGGAGAACAGCTTCAGACGAGTACGTGGCAAAAGGGACCAGGGGTGGAGAAAGAAACCAACAAGCTTCCCAGTCCAAGGCCCTCAAACTCTTTCTTATCCTAATGGCAGTGGCCAAAGGAGGACCCCGGGCTTTGCTACTTCACACCCTGCTGCCAGGTCACACCCAAAAGGGTATCTGATGAAGAGAACAGTCGCTCCCGAAAGCTTCTACTCTCCCAAAATCTTCCTGGTCTCTTAAGGAGCTTCTAGTCTCAAATGAAGGGGACAGAGACTGCCAAGAGCCAAATGGCAGGACTGTAACCTCTTCCTTTTAGGGCAGGAAGATCCAAATGACCCCCAGATGGGGACAGACTCCCTGGAGTAGGTTATAAGTTCTCTGGACACAAGGAAGAATCGCGCTCTCTCTGTCTTCCTTTGGATGCACATTTGCCATGAAGGACTAAGCTTTTCTCTAGGGACTCCATCTTCTCCACACAGGGGGACAACGAAGAGAAATAAGGTAATTATGACCTTTAAAACTACTGAAAGTTCAAGTAAAGCTAGCTTGTTCTATTTAAATATATTTAGGAAGCACACTGTGTAAAGAGAGAAGACTGCATCTTTTCATCTTTCTTTGTTCACTTGCTCAGCCCAAACGCTTGAACAGAAAATGTGTGTTCTTTTATTCATTTAACACAGTTCCATATATTTTGAATGCTTTAAGATTGGTCTCTGAAACACAACATGCCTATTCAGTCTTGCTATCAGAAGCATGGCAATGGGGACGGGCAGCTTGCCAGCCCTGGATCATGACAGCAGAATATGCGGTAAATCACCCCGGCGCTAGCTGGTACCTGCACAGGAGGCCCAGCGACTAGACAGAGCCTCTGAACAGCAACGCTGTACAGAGCACTCTGTGCATGACTCCGTTTAGCAGGAGAGCCAGTTTGGTGTAGTGGTTAAGTGTGCGGACTCTTATCTGGGAGAACCGGGTTTGGGCAAGCCACAGTTCTGATAAGAGCTGTTCTTGAAAAAGAGCAGTTTCTGTCCTGAGCTCTCTCAGCCCCACCCACCTCACAGGGTGTCTGTTGTGGGGAGGGGAAGGGAAAGGAGTTTGTGAGCCGCTCTGAGACTCCAAGTGAAGGGCGGGGTATAAATCCAATCTCTTCTCTTCTTCTTCTTCTCAGGACTGTTGGTGGCAGGTGACTACCTAGTTTGTTTTTTGCACCCCTGTGGTGAAGGAAAGGGACGGTGTTGCCAAGCAGAGACTTGGGATGGCCATGGGGGTTTTCCAGTCTCCCCCCTCTCCGGGAGCTAACCAGATGGAACAGGAGGGGCTGATGAGTCGGTTCCTTCATATGTACATTTTTAAAAAACCAAAACACTTTGCAGAAAGCCAAAGACAACATCCGCAGGCAACCACACTTAAATTTGCTACTCGTGCCTACCTATAGTATAGCAGTTAGGGGTCAACACGTGGGAGGCAAAATACATCCGGGCCCCCAAGAGGTCAATCAGGCCTGCCTTGACTTGGAAGTAGAAATGAGTGTCTACAGGGGACTCCAGCGAATGGCCTGCCATAAGAAATGACTTGACTCGATATTTTGGAAGCAGCTTGGGACCCTATCGAAACAGGAGACGAGAACTAAGCCAAGTCTGTTCCCACCAATGACACAAACCTCGGTACACACGCAAGAAATAGGAAAGCAGGAAGGAAAGAAAACCTTCACAAGTGCCTTCCAAAAATTGTAAGCATTTTAACGTCACTATCCTGCTAAATATAAAACTTCACGAGCGAGCCACAGGACTCTTTACAAAGCTACCAATAAAATGATTGTCATTCGTTTATTAGCAAATATCAAATACGCTCTGATAAAATTAGGCTACACAAAATAATTTGGCATGTTCTCATACCTCGTAGGATGGACATTCCATTGTCACCGTTAGAAACAGCTGGGTCAACTGAGACAAGACGGATCTTGTCAAACCGGGTCCTTCAGCTAGAATACAGAGAACCAGACAGGCATAACAAGGAGACCGTCTCATACATGTGCCTTTTGAAAAGTAAGTTAACACCACAGCTTACATTGATTTGTCAGTTAAGTGATAACAGACACCAAGGGGGTGGGGGAAGGGGGCAATCAGGGTTATCAAATGTGCTAAACCACTGGCAAAATGCTGGAACGGATCTCCTAAACTTCTGGATCACTTCTGCCCCGTGAAGTCATAATGCTCCAATTTCCCTGGAGCAGGCTGCAGTAACCCTTAATCATAACTGAAAATATTTCCAAACCAATCATGACCATGGTTAATGCTAACCAGGTTGCTTTTCAACCAGGATCTCTGCAAATGTAACTCAGCAAGATGAGACTCCTGCTTCATGTTAACTAAGGCTCAGGTTAGGGCAGACATGACTCTAAAAGAAGGGTCCCCGCAAATGATGCCTGCCAAGTGTTTTCAGGAAGAGGGTGGGGTTCTTGACCAGCAGGGCTTCTGATGCTGCTTGCTCACTTGCCCTGAAAGCCCCTTGCAGGAGTCCCCATAAGTTGACAGCACACAGTAGCTAGGCACTGATCAGGGTAAAGAGAGAGAGTCCTAATCTGGGGGTTTTCAGAGCGACTGGCTTCAGGGAACTCTCTGCATATGGCTTTTCTGCCAAGGAAATCCTCTACAGCAGCCACAGAGTGCCTTATGGTGCAAAAGATTGTTGGGTGTGCACTCCAGGGGTCGTTTCGTAGAAAAAGAGCTAGGGGAACTCATTAGCATAACTCATTAACATATGCCACACCCCCTGACATCACCGGAAGTGTGTCATAAGGCCACACACCCCGCCCCCAACGATCCCTGCTGCCGCTGGTGGACTTGCAAGGCCGGTGGGAGTGCAAGGAAGCCCCGCGAAGGCCCTCCCTGGCCCCAGGCAGGCAGGGGTGGGGAGAGGCAGGGAGGAAGCAACTTACCCTCCCTCTTCTCCTGCCTCCTCCTGGCTGAATGAGGGCCGGAAGCGGGGCGGCCGGAAGCAGGGGGCGGGGCTTCATCATGTGCCCTGCCCCCCGTACCTCACCCAGGGGGAACTGCGATCCCCCGCGATCCCCCCAAAATGACCTCTGGTGCACTCAGTTCCAGTAGCGAATAACTCGGCCTGCAGCCTCCGCATGAACACAGAAACATCACCCCACACTGCTCCACGAAGAACACATTGCACAGAAGGAAAACTGGAAGCAAGCAGATCTCTCCTCATAAGGGCCGCTTCTTTGAGTCACTGCCCGTTTTGCACAAGCCCTAATTCATCATTACATCCCAAGTGGCAGCCTGTAAGGCTGTGCTTGCCCTCGAAGCCCAGGTTCGCAGCCTGGGCCGGGAGGGCAAAGGTCAGCCTAGGGCAAGAGACCAAGCGCAAGGCTTGGCGCTGCCAGGGCACAAGTGCGGTTCGGCATTACAAGCAACTCGACCCAAGCTGTTTCCCAGGCAGATCTCTGCCACAGCGATCACCCCGCTGAAGAGCTGCCAAGAGCCTACAGACAACTTGAAAAGCCAGTGAATGGGATGCTAGAGAGGGTGACCTAACACACTTACCTTGCAACTGCTGCAAAAAATAAGGACTAAATACTTTAGCCAGAAAATTGAGTGGGTAGCGTTCAACCAGGGTGCAAGAGTGAAGCAGGCTCAGCAGCACATGGGACTGAAATTGAGCAAATCGGGTGCTGAGCACCCTTTCCAGTTTCCGGAAGAGGGACGGAGCACATGGTGGCAGGTAGTTGAGTTGTCCAAATGGAATGATCTGTTCAGCAATCTGAGTGGTGGTGAAACCATCTGCATTGTAAATGAAACTCTCCGCCACTGCATTGAAGATGGTTTTGGAAAGGATGCGCTTCCTGCGGCAGTACTGCATGACTTTGGAGACCACCTTGGGGTGCATGGCGAAGGCGTGCTTAGCGACGTGTCTTTCTAGGGCTTCTGTGAAGAGCGGATCGTTGTGTCCAAAATGAATGAACGCCTCTAGCACGTGAATGATTTCGTCGTCTGTGAAAGAGGGAATGTGGCGTATAGAATACTTGCAAAACTTTATCACCAGGGGGATAGCTTGGGTTTGATCAAGAACCACCAGAGCGTTTAGCACTGCGCTCGTCAGTTTGGGGCTGAACTTAGAAACCTGACTCACAGTGAAATGGTTCATTTTGTTCAACAGGTCCTGGTATTTCCCTCTCTTTCCTACACCCAACTGCAGGATCCTGTACACCATGACCATTTCATCAGACGTCCAGTCCTCGAGATTTGTACTCTGCACCTGGTCCATAATGTGTTCCAGCATTGCACAGTCTGGACCTTCTAGGTCCAATAAGCCCTCCGCAAGGACACACGAATCTCTGATGCTCAGCTGGCCCTTACTGAGACGTTCCCGGCTCTCTGATAGCAAACGAACGACCAGGGTGCTCCACGGGTCCACACGCAACTTTATCAAGGAGCTCAGCGAATTCACGAGACCAGCATCAGACAGGTTTGGAGATTCTCGTTCCAGCTGGAAGCAAAGAGACTGGAAGACGGCGTCCTCTGCAAGGTCCTCGGCATGCTTCGGCCTCCCATCCTCCACGTCAACATCACAGAGCCGCTGGAAGACAGCTGCCACTGTGGTGTCCGTTAAACTTTCCAGGGAGTTCACAAATCTGAAAATTTCTTCATATGACTGGCAATTGTCTAACGCCTTCAAAAGCTGCTGTTCCTCTGTCTGTTTGCTATTTGATCGGAAATGATTACCTGCCTCTCCATGGAGGTTCCCTGTTCCCATGGTGGAGCTGGGAGGACTTCCCAGCGCCACGTGATGATTTCTACGAACCGTGCCCTGCACACCTGTCACCGAACATGCTCTCTGCAAGGCTGACGAGCCATAGTGGCACAGTGGCCCTCTTTCTGGACCAACGTGGTGTACAACTCTCCCTCCAGTCAGTAGCGGCCTGCAGGCTCGTACTCTGGAAGTCCACGCTCGGAAACATTTTAAATGTATCAAGGCCATCTCAGGTCAGCTGTGTGAACATGGTCCCCTGGAAAGGAAAAGAAAAACAGACCTTGAAACAATGCTGTAACAGCCCCTCCTGCAATTTACAGCAGCAGGGATAGAGCAGGTAGGTAAAGAGGTACTTTTCTCCCTTTCTCACAATACAAGAACTCGTGGGCACTCCATGAAACTGCAGAGCGGTTGGGTTAGAACGGAGAAAAGGAAGTACTTCTTCACCCAAAGAGTGATGAACACATGGGATTCACTGCCACAGGAAGTGGTGGCGGCTACAAGCATGGACGGCTTCAAAAGGGAACTGGATAAGCATCTGGAGCAGAGGTCCAACAGTGGCTATTAGCCACAAGGTATAGATAGGGGCTCTGGGGCAAGTGATGCTCTGTCTTCTCGGTGCTTGGGGGGGTCAACAGTGGGAGGGCTTCTGATGTCCTGGCCCCACTGGTGGACCTCCTGATGGCACCTGGTATTTCTGGCCACTGTGTGATACAGAGTGTTGGACTGGATGGGCCTTTGGCCTGATCCAACATTGGCGTCTCTTATGTTCTTATGTTGTGGGGAGGGGAAGGGAAAGGAGTTTTGAAGCCTCTGGGGCGGTGGGGTAAGTGATGCTCTGTTTTCTTGGTTCTTTGGGGGGGGGGGTCAACAGTGGGAGGGCTTCTAGTGTCCTGGCCCCACTGGTGGACCTCCTGATGGCACCTGGTATTTCTGGCCACTGTGTGACACAGAGTGTTGGACTGGATGGGCCTTTGGCCTGATCCAAAATTGGCGTCTCTTATGTTCAGCCTATATTGTATCCAAATCCAATAACCTTTATTGGCATAACAATAACTTTAAAATGAAAACAGTACAAATCAGCCCATATGCCAACAAATAGAAACAGAGTACAGCTATTTGTAACATTGTATATAGTAAAAATAATAGGGCGTGATAAAAGTTCAGAACAGTAATCTCGAGTATCACAGTAATTAAAACAGTTGCAGTAAGAAACTTAACTATCCGGAGAGGGACCATAGATACGCCTTATCTCTCTCACTCACTCTCCACCTCCTTGCCTCTTTTTCTTGGCCCCTAAGTACATTTGCCAGGAACTCTGCCACCTGCTCAGTAACTTCAGGGTTTTTATCCGCTAGTAAGCTGTGGAAGGTCAGTAGTTCAGCAGTTCGAGACCTGAGTGTGCCGCATGACGGAGTGAGCTCCCGTCTCTAGTTCCAGCTCCTGCCAACCTAGCAGTTCGAAAGCAAGAAACTGCAAGTAGATAAATAGGTACCACTTCGGTGGGAAGGTAACAGCGTTCCGTGCGCCTTGCTGTTTAGTCATGCCGGCCACCTGACCACGGAAACGTCTTCGGACAGCGCTGGCTCTTCGGCTTTGAAACGGAGATGAGCACCGCAACCCCAGAGTCGGATTCGACTGGCTCTCGAGCAAGGGAACCTTTACCTTTACTTTAAGAATTCAAGACCTCTATTGGTCGCAGCCTTCGAGAGATATTGTATCCATTTTTACCCTGCCCAACCTCCAGGAAGCTCCGAACGGCATCTTATTTATTTCCTTCCTTTCCTCCAGGAGAAGTGGTCTCTGCAGTCTCTGGCGCTGTCATCCCAGGGAATCCCCAGGTCCCACCTGGAGGCTAGCATCCCTACCTGGAGATTTGGGGGATGAAGCCCGGGGGAAGGGGCGGGTCCTCAGTCAGCAGGGGGCAGGGCCACCGAGCCCGCCCTCCAAAGCAGCCACTGTCCCCGGGGGAACGGAGGAGCTCTAGAGAGCAGCTGCAGTGCAAGATCTCCCCCTCCCCCCGCCCGGGAGGTTGGCAACCCGGCATGCACGCGCAGCCCCTGCAGGGCCCGGGCCGGGGGTCTTGGCGGGCAGTCCCGCAACCAGCAGGACGGTCTGCAATTGTCGGCTGCACCCGGGCCCTCTCCCCTCCGCACCGGCCACCGCACTTACGGAGTTCTTCCTTCTTGCACGCAACTCCGCGAAAGGACTTTTGCCGACCACGCATGCGCAATCGAGAGCCTCCGGGGACAAGCAGGTTAAAGAATCCCACTTGTTCGAGGGCGGAACGTGACGCTGACCAATCACGGGCGTTCCCTCGGCAGCGCCGTCGGGCCCAGGCGGGTTTCTTCCTTCCTCTTTTTTGACTTTGGCCCGCCCATCACGGCGAGGGAGCCAATCTCTCGTTTCGCTTCTTCCGCCCCGCCCTTTCGGGCCACAATGTATCCATTTTCGACCCTCTGCGCTGTCCCGGCGGCCTCTAACCTCGATTGGCTTTTGCTTACGTTCCGTGACAAAACGGTGAGCCAATCGTGTGCGAAGCGCCGCCCCTTTCGCCCTGACTGGCAGGTGGGCAGCCAATCAGGAAAGAGTAGAGACCCGTTTTCCCCCTCGGACTCCTCTGACGTCATGGGAGAGGCGCTCAAGGGAGAGGCGCAAAGCCCGGGCTGGATTCCTGGCACCGCCGGGAGCCGCGCCTCTTCAAGGTGTTCGTGGAGGAGGGAGCCCGTCGTCCGGGGAGTCCGATCGGCAGAGGACCGGGGTCGGTGGTGCCCAGAAGCGGCGGACGGGGCTGGAAATAGCAACGGAACGAATGCAGAGTCCCGTGGTGGGGGCACCTTTAAGGCCAACAAAGTCTAATTCCAGGTATGAGTACAGATAGTCTCAGGAAAAAAACGGAAAAATGAAGCCTTTTTTTGTTTTTTCCCCCGAAAAATTGAAAAAAAGGAAAGAAAAAACATTGATTATGGAACTATTTTAACATGATGAATAAAATATTTTAAGACCAGGTGTACAAATGTTTTCCAAATCATTTCTAAAATGTATATATGGTATCAGATTGATCTAATTTCTGTGCACTGAGGACAAGCAAGTCCTAGGTTACAAGTTGAACTCTCCAATGCTAGAACAAGATGCATTTTTTCCTTTAGGAGGTGCGATTGTCAGAAGAAAAGAAAAAGGCGTCAGTTTTGTTTTTGCATGTGGGTGGGTATTCTGTTTGTAATAATTGTTTGGATACACAATATTTTTAATAGACTAGTTGTGATCATTTCATGCCAAGTGAAAATATCCATAGTTATATTTTATGTTCCTAAAGTAACAGAATTACTTTCAGTCTAGAAAAGACAAAAGAAATGCTAATGTAGCATTTTTTTCAATTTTTCTGAAAATTTCCGTACTCCCCCGGGGAAAAACTGGAAAAAAACCGGGGTTTTTTCCGAGCTTCAAAATTTCTGGAGATTTTACATCTCTAGGTATGAGCTTTCCTGTGCAAAGGCCCACTTTTGCAAATGCATTGGGGTGGCAGATGAGGTTCTAAACTTGTAGGCAGGGATTTAACAGCAAATTAACATGTAACGTGATGATGTCTAAGTCATGCAAAGTGAAAACTTAATAAGTTACGGTTATAAAGTCAACAGCTGTAAAACAATACATGTGTGACAGTAGCAGATAAATGTCTAAAGGTGGGTTTTTGTCCTTATTGTGGGAAGTAACAGAATCTTAATTATTTCCTCTGAGGCTTAGAGGGCATGTGGAGGGCGCTTTATATTTTGAGCTGGATGTAATGTTGTTGGCAGACATCCATTCGGTATTCTAATGTACTGTTCTGAAAAAGAAATACACTAACATATAGCAGATAAGAATGCAGAGATTACACATTCAGTCGCTGAGTTTTGTGCATTAATTCTTAGATTGCGGGAATCGCATTTTAAAAGTTCTTAATTTCAGATTTCTATTTTTGTATATGATGACTGGGTTTTTCCCCTCTCCCTCACATGTTATGCTTACTTTGTATGTTGGTCTTAAGACCATAATAATAATACACTAAACTAAACATTTAGAGGATTTATAGTCCTTCTTGTTGAGAATACATGTGTGAGGACTGAATGAGTTAGCATATGTAACAGGATAAAAATCCAGTGTCCCTGTTGAGTCCTGGGGAGGAAATAGCAATCCCTTCAGGGGAAGGAGGGATCCAGATGCTTGACATGTTTTTTGTTCTTGTCGTGTAGTTGAGCCTGTAGGAGGTTTCCCCCAGTGTTCCCTCTAAGCTGAGTTAGTGTGAGCTAGCTCACGGGTTTTGAGCCTCTGGCTCACATGTTTTTGTCTTAGCTCAGGAAGGATGGGGCTCCAGAGCAAACTAATTTATGCAGTAGCTGAATCTCTCACTCACAACTTTAATGCCAGTAGCTCACAAAGTAGAATTTTTGCTCACAAGACTCCACTGCTTAGAGGGAACACTGGTTCCCCCCCCTTTTTTGGGGCTGTGGATCTGCAATCCCATCCCGTCGATCAGACAAAAAACAGCAGTATAACAAAAAAGTGATCACTGTTCAATATCCATTAAAAACAATGACATTTAATTGCAGTAGCTGTGTATTTATGTACATCTAATGTTATACTAAAATCCAGGTCCCCTAACAGAGTCATTAAATAAAATTCGAGTCCAGTGGGGGACCTTTAAGACCGACAGAGTTTTATTCAAGGTGTGAGCTTTCATGTGCAGGGCACACTTCCTCAGATACGGTGAAGTGGAGGTTTCCAGTCCATACATTTAGGTAGAGGGTGAGCAGCAAATTAACGTACAACATAATGAAGGTTGTTTAACTGATGCAAGGACCAAACTGGAATAACAAGCTTAGTTTATATGGTCACCATTTGTTTGGATTTAATTCTGGGTGGGAAAAAGTGAAGGAAATAAATATATCAGTATTGGAGATTGATGTGCAAATGTACCCTTCTCAATTGTGGAATGCTAAGTAACTGGGACCCTTTTGTTATAAAGTCAGTTCCATCTGTTTCTTCTCATTAAATGACAGAAGAGCGAACAGACTTTTTACTCATATGAGAGTCCGGGAGCAAACTGCAAAAGAGCAAACTGTATAAATAAGACTGGTTAGGGGACCTGTGGGTATGTGTAATCCAACTAAGATTGGTTAGGGAAACACACTTAAAAACCTTAGTTCATAGTAAATACATTTAATGGAAGATTAATCTTAAAATGTTTAGGCAATGAACAGATGGTAAAACAGAGAGCCAGTTTGGTGTAGTGGTTAAGTGTGTGGACTTGATTCCCCACTCCTCCACTTGTACCTGCTGATGTGACCTTGGGTCAGTCACAAGCTCTGGCACAGCTGTCCTTGAAAAAGAGCAGTTTCTGTCAGAGCTCTCTCAGCCCCACCCACCTCACAGGGTGTCTGTTGTGGGGAGGGGAAGGGAAAGGAGTTTGCAAGCCGCT